TAGACCGAAAAAAAATAATAGAATTTGGTCAAATAAGTGGTGATTTAAAAACTGACTGGCTAAGACTCAACTGCTTCATTAAATTGAGTTTAAAAGAATCAGTTGGAAGAAATACCACTTTTTGAAATGACAAAAAAAAAAGCAAACTTCTGATAATGATAGCTTCAGGCAGAATTCAAATCTAGTCCTTTTGAAATAAAAATATTAACTCACAATGCACATCCATCAAAAGCTAAAGTTGATAGAAAAGACTCTTTCCAAAGACACACTAGCCTTGTCCCAATAAACCACACAAACACACGCATCTCATTAACTATTAGTTTTAAACTAAAAAGCTCTTTGAATATAGACAAACCTCAGCATCTGACAGTATATAAGACTCAAAACAGCCCTCTTGGAGAGGTGCAGGCTGTGAAGGAGGACCTGCCCCTCCGCCCACTCCAGGACCCAGCATGGCTCTCCTGGGAGCTAGACTGGGAATGCAACGTCGCCCAGCCCCCACCCCCGCCAGGCACATGGCCCTCCTGAAACCTGAGGCTCAGTGTGTCCCGCCAGCACACCGACACACACGCTCGGGTTGCCCTGAGCATGCCGGGCTGTCCGATCTTGTAAGAACAAATACAAATTAAAAATGAGGCTTAATTTTCCCTGTTGAAAACGGAGAGATTTCCATTCCCTCATTTTTCTTAGAGGGTTTATCTTAAAAGATGTATCATTGTACGTACCTTCTCATCTCTTTGAAATGTATAAAAATCCTTTTGAAGGCTAGAAGCCTCTTGCCAGCTTCATGACCCAGGATCACCTTTCTCAAGGACCTGGGAGTCCTCTCTTTGAAATATTAACATCATGGGAGATGACCCCCCTTTTCCCTGATTCTGTGGAAGGGTAGGGGTCTACCTTTGGGGGGTGCCTTGCTCAAAGTTTCAAACTACCTTCATTCATAAAACATGAGATTTGTTTTTCCTCTGGATAAACTCGATTAGCTAACACACCCCAATTATGAGGAGAATTTAGGATGAACTATATGGAGCAAATTGTGCTATCAAGTCTTTTTATTTGAGAACCAGTTACTGTTTATCTTGAAAATATGTATGTGATGCACTCATGGGGGAAGATTTCTTCCTGTCTTTGAAATCTCTTAGCAGATTGACTGTGATGTGTGTCACATTCCGGTTTAATACTTATTCAGTAATAGAAGTGTTTTCATTCTCTGCTATCTTTGTGGAGAGGATTTCTGGATTGGAGGTTTTGGTTTTGATGACATTTCCCTAACACAGGTTGAGTCCAATCAACTGCCTAGGGAGTTGGAGTTTCAGTGGGGAACCCTCAGCCCCGATGACAGAGCTAAGATGTTTACTTACTCATCACTTGCCCCATCTTCCTCTTGCCTCAGTGTGAGGGAGATTTGGAGCAGTTCCTCTTGTCCTAAAGATGCACAAATACTCAGTGACCTCTGTGCTGCCTTTAGATGGCAGCCATGTTAGCCTCTTGCGTCTTAGCTTTTCTAGAGTTGGAAAAAAATTTGAAGTGAAACTTTGCTGATGTTAAAAACATGTTTGAAAATATGATTTTTATTCTTGGTAACTCATAATATCACAGATTTTTCAGCAGAACACAAGTACAGCAACAAACACCAGCACCCCAACCAGTTTAAGATCTATGACTCCGGTCAAATGTGGAGACAAATTTTCTCCCTTCTCCTTATTTCTTTTAATTGTATTAAAAAAAAACCAAACACATAATATGAGATCTCCTTACAACAAATGTTTAAGAGTACAGTGCAATATTGTTAACCATATGCATGTTGTTGTAAGCAGATAGCTGTAACTTTTTCATTCTGCATGACATAAACTCTACACCCAATAAAAAATAACTGCCCATCTCTCCCTCCCCCTAGCCCCTGGCCACCACCATTCTCCTCTCTGCTTCTGTGACTATGTTGGACACCTCATATAAGCGTAATCATGCAGTATGTGTCTCTCTGTGCCTGGTTAATTTCACTTAGCATAATGTCCTCAAGTTTCATCCCTGCTGTAGCAATATGACAGGATTTTCTACTTTGTTAATGTATATACCACATTTCCTTTATCCATTCATCCATCAATGGACATTTAGTTTTTTTCCATTTCTTGGCTATTGCAAATAATGCTGCAATGAAAGTAGGAATGCAAACATCTCTCTGAGATCCTGTGTTCAGTTGTTTTCCTTGATATGTTCCCTGAATTGGGATTCTGAATCATATGGTAGTTCTATTTTTAATTTGTTTAACAACCTTCATACTGTTGTCCATGGTGGCTACACCATTTTACATTCCTAACAACAATGCACAGGGGTTTCAATTTTTCTCCATCCTTTCCAACACTTGTTATTTTCTATGATTTTGAAAATGGCCGCCCTTACAGGTGTGATGACTATCTGACCGTGGTTTTGATTTGCATTTCCCTGATGACGGGTAATGTTGAACACCTCTTCATATATCCTGTGGCCACTTGTATGTCTTCTTTGACAAATGTTTATTCAAGTCTTTTGCTCATTTTAAAATCAGGCTGTTTGGTTTTTTGCTATTAAATTGTAAGAATTCCTTATTTTTTTTATATTAACCCCTCATCAGATATATGTGGTTTGCAAATATTTTCTCCCATCCTACAGGCTGCCTTTTAACTCTGTTGATTGTTTCTTTTCCTTCATGCAGAAGGTTTTTATTTCGTTATAGTCTCACTTGCCTATCTTTACTTTCGTTGCTTGTGTGAGCCAAGAAATTATTGCCAAGACCGATGTCATCAAGTTTTTCCTCTATGTTTTCTTCTAGTTTTATAATTTCAGGTCCTACCCTTAAGTCTTTAATCCATTTTGGATTTATTTTGTGTATGGTGTAAGACGAGGGTCCAGTTTCGCTCTTTTGCATGCGGATATTCTCAACACCATTTGTTGAAAGGACCATCCTATCCCCGTTGTGTAGTTTTGGAACGCTTATCAGAGATCATTTGACTGTATACGCATGGATTTATTTCTGGGATCTCTATTCTATTTTATTTACACTGATATTATACCGCTTTGATTACTCTAGCTTTGTAGTATGTTTTGAAGTCAGCAAGCATGAGACCTCTAGCTTTGCTCGTTTCTCTCAAAATTGTTCTGCTATTCAGGGTCCTTTGTGGTTTATGTTACAATTGTTTTTGTTTATTTCTGAAAAAAATGTTGTTGGAATTTTTATAGAAATTGCATTGAATCTATAGATTGTTTTGGGTATAGTATGGACATTTAAATAATTGTCAAACCCATCCCAAAAAACTGAAAAAGAGGGAGCACTTTCAACCTCATTTTATGAGGCAAGCATTACCCAAAGCTGAAGACACTACAAGAAAACAAACCTACAGGCCAATATCCTTGATGAAAATATATGTGAAAATCCCTAATAAAACACTAGCAAACAAAATTCAACAGCATTTTAAAAGGATCATGCACCCTGTCCAGTGAAATTTATCACAGGGATGCAAGGACTTTTTCACATATGCAAGTCAATCAATGTGTTACACCACGGTAACAGAATGGAGGATAAAAAATGGTCATTTCAATAGATGCAGAAAAAAGCATTTGACAAAATTCAACACTAATTCATGATGAAAACATTCAACAAACTAGGAATAGAGGAAATTACCTCAACATAGTAAGAGTTATTTATGAAAAGCCTGTAGCTAATATCATACTCAACAGTGAAAAACTGAAAGTTTTTCCTCTGAGATCAGGAGCAAATCAAGGATGCTGACTCTCAACACTTCTATTCAACATAATATTGGAAGTCCCAGCTAGAGCAATTAGGCAAGAAAAGGAAATAATAACCATTCAAATCAGAGAAGAAACAAAATTATGTTTGTAAATGATATAACCCTAAAGATTCCCCACCAAAACCATTAGAACTAATAAATGAATTCAACAAAGTTGCAGGATGTAAAAGCAACATACAAAAATCAGTTGCATTTATATACCCTAACAACAAACTATCTTAAAAGGAAATTAAGCAAACAATCCATTCAAACAGCATCAAAAAGAGTAAAACATATAGGCATAAATTTAATCAAGGAGGAGAAAGATTTGTACAATGAAAACTGCAAAACATTGCTGAAAGAAATTAAAGAAGACACAGATAAGTGGAAAGAAACGTTCTCCCTCCTGTGTGGTACATGTTGGTACCTTATGTGTTGGCTAACCCTGATCTTCAAATATATGTTTAGTGTGTGCAGCTCTGACCAGAGTCATCTACATGTTAATGGAATGTTAACTTTGCAATTGTCAGTAAGTGAAAAAGCAGCCTCTGGACTGGAGGAAGCAGGTTGAGTGTGTGGCTTGATGTGGAACAGAGGCCCTAAAGAGGCACAGTGGGAAAAAGCGATAAAGAAGAGACTGGGAAATACAAAGTCTGGGGGGAGAATTGAATCTTAGGAAAAGAAAGAACTGATAAAGTTTACCTTGCCCATCCAATGAAATGCCTGCAGATAAGTAAAAGTTTCAGGACACTCTAGACCAAGGATTTGAAGATAAAACTAGCCGGCTTAGAGGTATCAGGGGTAGGTTATGAGATTTCCCTATTGCTGGCACCAACCCAGAAAGGGTCCTGAGCAGGGGAAGAAGCAGTGATGGGTATTACCTAACAGAGTAAAGAAAGTCAACCTTACTTAGTGATACTAACTCCAGTGATGCTGTCAATCTAAAATTTGTCTACTTCCAACGTAGTTTATTCACAAAGGATCTTAATTCAGTTGCAAAGTCATTTCTATACACTGTATAATTGTGCTGATTCTCAAAAGTCATTGGAAAGGAAAACTTAGGCTTGTTCCTCAGATCTGAAGAGGCAAAGTGCTCTTAGTCCCGTGAATGATGCTTTTAGAAGAGACCAGGAGTAGAGGTGGACACTCTCTTTTTAAAAAAAGGTGTTTTCAGACACTTGACGCCATTGTCTATCACGCCATATTTGTCTCCATAATTTTTATCCTTTTCAACAGGGATTTTGTTGTTAAACCACTGAACTGAATGTGTCGGGAAGAGAGTATGAAGGTCAGCCTCTCCTATTGCCAAGTCTGACAGGTAGGAACACTGCGTGAGAAAGGTAACACAAGTGAACTTATTTCTCCTCCTGTTCCTTGCCGAATCTCTGAACAAGCAAACAAAACTGGTTCTGACTTTTTCGCTGCTCTTTCCAAAGACCTCAGAATGAAAAACCTGCTGGCAGGCTCAGCACCAGTGAGGATGGCGGAGGCACGGATAACACAAACAGTGTCAAATATTTGCTTCTCAAAATTGGAGGGTCAGCCTGACTTGGGAAAGATACCATATAATCAAACCAAGTTTGTTGTCTACATTTGTGGCAAATTGAAATCTATTCATGAAAGAACTTTCTAGTTGCTAAAAAAAAGAATCTCTGATAAGCAATTGGATTTCTTAAGACATATGTGTGTTGTAGATACTGTCTGACTTCCCAGTTTCTCCTAAGAAAGGCTTTAGGGAAAACACAAATGCCATACTTGAAACTCTCCAACTGCGCTTTATTCATCATTCTAGCTACCTGAGTGTTTCCAAAGTTCCAATTACAATGATTTATGGTCTAAAGAGACAGCTTTTGCAGTTAGCAACTCTTTAAAAAGCATCAGTGATGCTGAGCAAACAGGTATCTTATTTGGCACATGAGTTTAATAACTCTGATGGCATTTTTGGTAACACATCTATTGCTTCACAGAGAATTGCTATGGAAGAAGCAGCATGTAGCACTCAATCAAAGAGCACATAATGGTGATAATTACTTTATTTGTGCCAGTGCCCTGCATCTCTGTAGAAAGAACTACATTTTTAGTCATGAGAAAGAGATACTGATGTCCTTGAAGAGGACATCTTAGTAACAGTTTCATTATCCAGCTTAAAGCATCTTGTCCTCCTCAAATATTTTCCCGCACTATCTCATTTAATTCTCAAACCAACGTTTTAAGAGAGATGAGCAATAGTGACCTCTATTTTACAGGTAAGAATAATAATAGCAACTTACGCCTGCAGAGTGCTTTCTAATCTATGGAGTGCGTCCACTGTCCTTCCCAAGGACATCGGAGGTAAGTAGTGCATGCCTTATTTTTTCAGATTTGCTGGTGAAGGCATCAGAGCTTAAAAAGTTGCTCACACAAGTGTTTGTCCTTGTCACTGCTCCTACAGGTGTTCTAGCATCTCCTCTGGGAATTCTCTGAAGGATGACAGAAATACCCACAGTAGCTTAGATAAATTCAAATGTATTTGGAATTCTTTACTTTAGCAAACATCATCAAAACTCCAGGAAGTGTCCCCGTAATCCATGGCCAAACTGATTAACCATTCCAAGTGTGAATGCCAAATCTGTTGGATGTCAGTCCTTAGGCAAAATTCCTCTTGATACACAACTATTGCTTCTCCAATCTCAATGTTCCATAAATACATAAATAGTACAAGAAAACTCTGCCTTTCCAGCAATCTTCACACAAAGGCTTGTCAATATCGAGGTCCAAGATTGGCTTAGGATTAGAGTTTACATATATTTAATCAAAAATACATAATCTTCTATCTCTTCACTGTAGGAGTGATGATATTTGCTTCCTATAGAAAGTTGTGGTCAGTCAGTTGCTGGTCAGGCCACAGATGCACGTTGTGAATTCGCAGAGCACATGTTAACACCTGCCCTACCAATCCGTCAGCCAACAAGTCTTTGCTAAATTTCTACCATTTACCAGTAGCAGCAGCAAGCATGTGAAAGATTTAAGTATGAATGAGACAGGATCCTTGAATTGCTGAGAGGACCAGGACAGCCCATATGTGAAAAATCACCTAGCATTCCATAAATACTTATTAAGCTCCTATTACACACAGGCCCTGCTCTCACGGAATTTATAATCCCTAAATAAATAAAATGCTACCACTATTACTGGTAACTCTTGTTATGACCATATGATTATTCATTCATTTAGTTTTTTAATTGAAATATAGTCAGTTTACAATGTGTCCATTTCTGGTGTACAGCATAACATTTCAGTCATTTATTGATAATAGTGATATTTATGACAATAATCTAATTTATACACTAATATTCAGATTAATACTCTCTTTCATCAGTAGTAACAGAAACAAAGTAGTCAGAACTAACTAGTTAATAACAACCCACAAGATTCAATTCAGTCCTTTCAAAGCACTACCCTAGGCCTTGAGACTGTATCTAATGGCATTTTTTTAATTTCAAAAAGTGATATTTTGCCGTGGACCCTTGGATTAAATTCAGGCTTTTCATTGTTATTTTCAGAGTGTGTTGTGCTAGAGCTTGAGAATAGATTTCTTTAATCTTTCGGCTACTGTTTGGTTGCCAAAGATTTTTTTCCCCCTGCCATGAGCATGTATGTGCTTTGTCAGACAGGAGGGTGAGGGCGCCGAGGGGAGACTGGCGGCCCGGGG